ATTTAAAATCTTTTATTGATTGTTTTTAAAAACTTTGCATTTTGTATGAGTATTTCATGTTTAAATCAGTATAAATACGCAAAATACTTATGAAATTCCAGCTGTTATTCAGTACTATTCATTTTTCAGCAATCATTAACTGTGAAAGAGTATGGCAAACGTTCGATAATGATCATGTATACTCAGATCATCAAGAATGAATTAAAGTCAATGCAGGGAAATGGATAATCCGATTAAAAACCCCAAAAAGGAAAAAGATATTATATGAACGTCTCACAAATGGTTAGTACTAAGCTCTTTCCTGATGATTGAATATTCTTTCATATTTTTGTATATTGTAAGGGATTTTCTCCCCAAATATATAATACCTTCCTTATAAACGATCTACTTTCTTTGAATACAAGTATAATTTTACATTTTAGGAAAAAAATTTATTTTTTCAAATTTATCTTATAACAATAGAGATTTATATATGTGTGTGTCAATATAGGCTTTAGTGGTATAAAATTGGGTAGATTTTGTTTTATTTTGAGTAAAAAATTCAAAAAATACTACCTCATTTTGCGTGCAAAGGAATAGTCAGAGCTATTTAATAACATTTTACGAATGAACTATGGAATTACTATAACTTTTGAAGAAATTTCAAAGTTAATAGAAGATTGTATTTTAGAAATCAGCTAAAAGAATGATGTGCATGCATCAAGCGTTAAAGTATCCTAATCAGAATATAGTAATATACAATGATTAGCAAAGCAGATTTGAATCGGCAAGAAGAGTTGCTTAAAAAATCAGTTGAGTCTTCTCTAGTTTCCACACTGCCTATTCCTGTTTAAGTGCGGTTATTCCTATTCCAGTTTTTGGTGCTTTACTATGATAACCAAATTGATTTGGTTATCATAGAAAAGAGACCATTATCATGCTTAGAATTAATTATGTTTAGGGTCGGTTTATTGGAATAAGGAAGTTTATAATACGTGAACACTTGTTTCCTCATCGAAAAGTCATAACGCATAAAGTCGATGTTTCCTTAGTACAAAAAGTGACATATGACGCTTAACTCTTTATTCCAGATAATGACCATATTTATGGGATTAAAAAGTGTAGGAAGCTTCTCCCCAATTTAATTCTATATTTAGTATTCATAATTAAAATGGGATGAAAATAGGATAAATAGCATCCCTATATAGTGCCTAACAATATTTATACGGGCCAAAAAAAATTTGGCTAGAGATTTGGCGAGTTATAAAACTTAGAAAATTGAGAGGAATTTTTATTTTCGAATTTTTTTTGGAAAGTTAAAATTGCGATTAAAAATCGATTTCCGGGAGAACTAAGCATCTCATCATATATTTAAATCGATAAAATTATTAAATAATAGTTGAATAGTACAACTACATGAAATTGTGGCTGAATATACAGAAAAAATGAACATATTTGACATTTTTGAAAATTCATATAGTTAGATGGTGACAGACCCATAAACTATACTTTAGCTAAGAATGGTATATGATTTCAACAACACATGATTAAAATCGTAAAAATATTTTAGATTTCAAACAGATATATGGTAATCTAATGGAACAGAGTCAGCAAATAGCATGTTAAATATGTTACAATTAACTTTTTATTAGATCCAATAGTAGATATCGAATGGTTTCCAGCTTTATGGTTAAATATTTTCTTTTCGAGCTTCTCTTGAACTGTTGTATTAAGGTTGTAAATTTTTGATGCTAGAAACTATAGAATCTTCTTTGCTGCTGCATTTTTCTTGAGAGTTCTTGCAATTTCGAATAGATCTGCGCATTGTATGAAATGGAGGCTTTAAAATATCTTGAAAACAGAACAGGACTGCTTTTCCAAAGGAATGCTTACTTGTAAATCAGAGAGTTTCAAAATTGAGAGCAAGATTATCATCATAACTTTCGATTTTGCTGCGAAAAAGGAAGACAAGTAATTAACAAATCATTTACTGTTGTTCATCAAAAGAAGAAAACTTTGATAACAACTAATGATGATAAAATCAAGCTATCTTTTAATATTTTAAATTGATAAGACATTCAAAATATTTGAATGGTTTAAAATATTTTCTTTTAATTTCTATAAGATACTATCATGATTATATAATAAAATTTAAATTTTTATTCAAAAAGGCAATATTTCAAACTTTTAATTTCAAAAATCTTAATTCTGCAATAAATGTATTTAATTGCAGCAAATTTAATGATCCTTCGTCATGCTTAGCAATTTGGAACTCATAAATTAATGATTTCTTCAAGTAAAATTCTGCATTATTTCAAAAGTCAATAATTCTCTAGTAACTTTTCTTCAAACCCTAACCATTATATTATATGTGTAATAGAGAATAATTGCAAAAAAAGATGGCCGAATTTACTGGGTAGTTCTTGTGATGCGAAATAATTGGAATTTAACACCTAGTTTTAGCAGCATCATTCTCTTTTTGCTCTCATTTAAATGCTTTTGCACACTTTAATTTTGAAATATAAGAGTTTTGGAAATTATCAAATTTATCTGCTCAAATACTATAGATCTTCATAAGTGTTAATAGAATCACCAGCCTTACATATAGTGTTTAATATAATGATGTACATTATACTGGGATTCATTCCTTATTCATCTAGTTATTATAAGATTTACAACCCCATGAAAATTTAAAATTTTGTCAAAAATAGTGAATGTACCTTTGTATTCATTTTTAGATTGGTATGCAAATTGCTGTTTTTATTTATCCCAAGTGTCAAACCAGACGAAACTTTTATCATTAAAGATCTAATTTACAATGAAAACTACTCTATCTTCAGATTACTGTATGGACTTCTATATTTTGTAACACTTTTATTGCTATCTAGCTGCTTCATCTTCACAAACATCAAAGAATTTCTTCCAAAAAAATCTAGAATTATTATTTATTTTTGCATTTTCTTTTTTGTCCTCGGATTATTTGGTACTGAAGTTCTACAGGAAGTAAGATATTCCTTCCTTGTTATGAAATATGAAAAGACTGATCTAAATAAATTCAATTACCTGAGAATGATTATTAAATTATATGTTGATTATTGTATTGAAATCCCTATATTGATAATTATATGGGTTTTATCGTCGCCAGAATACAACGAAAAGCAAGAAAAAAGTGATAGCGTATTGAAGAGTGATTTCGCAATTCTTGATTGATATTTTACTGTATTTTTGACATATAGATATATACTAACTTTCTCATTATATTATGAATAAAAAAATCTATCTTTTATATACAAATACGTTCGATTATTTCTTAAATACAAAGAAATAGCTAGTTCGGCAAATATACTCATAATAGCATTTGTCAGACAATATGTGTATGGTTTATGCATAATATGTTTTGAAGATAAAATGGAAAATAAAATTTGAAAACTTTATAAACATGAAATTCGAGTAATGGCTAATCAAGATCTTGCATTTGGAATTATTCCTGCATAATAGAGCCAAATAAATTAACTACAAAAAATTTTTATGGTTTTATGATACTTGATAACCATCTGATAGAAATTCCATACAAATATCAAAAAAGAGAAACAAAAATTAAATTGAAAGCCTATTGAAATAACGGTAATTGGATAAGAAAACAATAATGGTTTCGAGTTTTATTAAGAGTTTACCACATGAATTTTGCCCCTTGCAAGCATATCGGATGTGCAAGCATCCCGTTTCATACATTTATATTGCAATTGATATCGTTTTATTGCTTCCCTTCTTTTATTTCGCAGCAACCCTATTCCGAAAACTTAAAATTCAACCAAAAAACAAATTTATGCCCGGATTACTATTTTCATTTTCAACAGCTACTTACATTATATACCGATGGTTTTCCGATTATGCATTTTCGTACTCATTTCATGACTACGACCAAGATTTTGCTTTTAGAGAGGGATTCATATGGGATGATATAGCAAAGTTATCGAAAGCCATGTTTCTTGATCAAATCGCCATAGTTTTAGTTGCATTTCAGTTTAAATACGTGAAAATATTGAAGTATTTCAATTATGCAATATTCTTTTTATTCTTATTCAGATTGATATGCAAATGGATATTCATGTTTATACCTAAAGTCAACCCATTCACACTTCCCGTTATTAAAGATGTAATTTACAATGACAATCCAAACTATTTTAGGTTATTTTACGGATTTCTTTATTTAGTTACATTGCTGCTTATTAACTTCTGTTTTGTGTTTTCAAAAATCAGAAATTGGATTCCAAAGCATGAATGCAATAAAATCTATATATGCACATTCTTTTTGGTTGTAGGATTATTTTCGACCGAATTTCTTCAGCAAATGAGATACTCAACTAATATGTACGGTTTCAACTACTTCAGATTTGCTGTTAATTGTATTATTAACTACTGCGTTGACTATCCATTACTCATCATCATTTGGGTCCTTTCAGAACCTGAATACAATAATGACCAACAAACTCAAGATGTCCTGTATAGTGGAATGGGTTTGATAGATTGACTCAAGATCGAATTACTGTTTTACAATATAATTAGATGCAATCATTTAATGAAATCTCTTTTATATGGCTATTACTCATTACTTTAGGTTAATTCAACTTATTGTAATCATACTAGGATATATATTATTATTTTTGAATAAATACTATGGATTTTAGTAACTCAAAACTTCATTCAATTTTTCTCTTTCTGATTAAGTCGAATTCGTTATGCATTGATGATCAGTAAAACATACACTTCTAAACTATTGCTGGATGGTAACAGTGATATCGATCATGAACATAACAATTATTTTCTTTATTCATCGAAAGACAGTTATTATTATCCAATGACCGTCTCAAACCGTCAAATAGATTGATATGATGTCATAATCCGAATGTCCATAATAATTATTCGAATGAGGTAAAGTAATGTTTTGCATCAACAAAAAATTTAAATAGAGATAATAATTACAACTATTAAAAAACACAATTTATTCTTAAAAAAAAATTTCAAAGATAATCTGCATCAGGTTCATCAGGGATATATGATGCTGCTGTTTTTGTTGTCCATGCTCCGACACCCTCTTTCTTTGCTGTAAGTTCAATTCTGTCAAGTTCTTCTGAAATTTCGTCCAAAATTTCGTCATCTTCTAAGAAATCGCATGTTTCGTAGTGACAAAGTCCTGTTCTGAGCATAACAGCGTTAACAGATGTACTTCTGATCTCTGGATGTTGTGTCAGAAGAACATCTGGGTCAGGTTCATTAATATCGTCAACAACCAAGTGGCAATAGAGCTTCTGACCATCTACAGCTGTCCAAAGAAATTCTTCTGCCTCTTTCTTGAAGTCTTCATCCTCATTTTCGAATGGCCGAGTGAAAGCCAATCTCACAGACAATCCTTGCGGAGGGATTGCTGCTATTTCTGGTGGTAATTCACGTAGGTTATTTACTGATATAGTATCATCAACACAAAGGTCGATAAAATCAACTTTTGCTTCGATATCGTTTAGATCAGAAATTTTTGCTCTGTAAATCTTATCGCTGAAGATGGCGCCGACAACATCACCTCTCATTGGATTTTTTGGTCGGGTCCGGCAGTTGACAATTGTTTCCCTGATCTTTTCGAAATCATCACTCATTATTGCGATGACAACAGTGATTGCGTCCCAGACACTGACGACTTTGCACTCGTATATTGTGTCCTTTTTGAGTCTGAAGACCGTTCGTGATGAATCTGACCACATTCCGACTTCTGAACGTTGCGCTGACTGTTGGGCTGCAACAAGGACCTGGCGTTGAGGATGGCGTTGTGCTTCGACGTGTAATGATGCAAATCCGCGTTTCAGAATTTCGGCTTCAAGTAAATATTCGTGATTTCCATCTTTTACGGTAACTGAGCCACAAAATGAACCAACCTTGTCAAGTTTTACGATAAATACTTCGCAGTTCCTCAGTTTGAAGTGGCGATTGCAATAATTTAGCGCATCAAAGCCAATTCGATCTTCGGAATCAGAAACTTTAAGTCCATATAGATTCATGCGAAGAATAATGTCGTATTCTGGGATTCTGACGATAAGTCTCGTACATGAAACAAAATATTCAATTATTCCGGACGTTTCCCGGCCATAAAGGGAATCGTAGTATGGCATTGATTTTTCTCTTGATGGTTCTCGAGAAAGAATAACAAATCTCTTAGGAGTTACAACATCATCCGAAAAAATTCCCTTTTTCTCGTTCCTTGCGAATTTGTCCGCTTCTGTAATAGAGTCTATGCAGGATGGGATCTTCTGTGAACGCAGGATGTTTTTCTTGCCATAGCCATTCTGAATAATCCTTGAATTCACGCAAAGAGTGTTTTCAAGGTACATTGAAACGTAGTAAATAGGAGTTTCACCAGATGTAACAGAAGAATCAACAATACACTTAACGCGCTTTCCAATTAAAAGATTTCGGAGATATTCGTGACTTTCGAAGCCGTATGGCTCGCTGGAAGTATTATCGTATGGATTATATGCTGGTGTTCTAACGCCTGACAATGAAACCCTTTTGATTGTATCGTCATCTAAAATTATTTCAAAAATTGAGCTTCCACGAATATTCATGACAGTTCCATCGAAGGAAATAGTATCTTCTGGAGGAACAACGAATTTCTTCCATTGGTTCTTCTCTTCTTTTCGCGCTTTTTCTTCAATCATCTTATAATTCTCTGGATCAGGGACATATGACAATGATGGTTCGTGGATTGATGCAAGACCCTCTTCTAGAAGTATTTTTCCAAAATCTGGACAATTCTTATGTGAAATAATTCCAAGAAAATAATTTTGAGTGTCAACATATGAAACAATCTTGATTTTTAATGTACGTTGGAATAGGTTCATCTTGCAAAGGTATAATGCTTCATTAGCATATGGAAATACTTTGTCTTTTGTAATTAATGGACAAATAACTCCTGCAAGAGAAAGATGTATTGATTCGAAGTTAGGAAGTAAGAAGACATGATATGAGGATCCATTTGAAAACCCATCGATGTAGCCTTCATATGTTTTACCGATTAAATTTCGTGGATTGAATTTTACTGGTAATTGACGTAAAAAATATGTATCACCCCATACTCCTCTATTGTTTTCTTTAGCTGAATCTTGGTAGCGGAAAAGCTCTCGAGTGTAGTCGTTCATTATTTCGGATTTGACTTTGGCAAAACCAGCAGATATCATAGCGATTCTGACATCCATGTTGTTGTAATCAATTAATTCGACTCTTCCAATTGAAAAAGGAACAGTGCCAAACGTGAAATTATTTCGTGTGTTTTTAGTTTCTTTAATATCACGAACAATGCATCTTCGACCAATAGCGAGTGTTCGTAAATAATTGAATGATGTCCACGCTTCGTACTCATCCTCTCGTTTCCCATCTGTTGTTCCTAATAAAGGAGAATGGCAGCCAAATAACTGAATGTAATTGATAGGTTTGCCTTCTTTCTCAATAAATTCTATATAAAGGCTTGACCCAGCATGGATTCCAACGACAATTCCTTTCTCCATTTATTTACTTCTCAAAGAAGTAATGTAAACTTCTCAAAAAAATTCAATTTGAAATGATACATTTCTCCTATAAACACGGCATTGTGACAGCTACTTTTTTGACTCCACTTGGGATGCCCTAACAAGGGGAGTAGCTCTTAGTAATTATTTGATTTTTTTTTAGATGATGAGCTCCGTCTCCTAGTGAGAGAGAAGTGGGGGTTTGCAAGCTATTTGAAATCAGGTGTAAGCAATTCAATATCATCATACCTTACTGATGGAAGCGCATTAACATAATATATTCCAAATAAGTATGGGAAACGTTACATCTTTTGGATTTTAAATCCTTAAGGAAATTGTGAACTTCATTAAAATCAGAGCTTGAATGTAATACCCGAATTTTTTGTGAATTCATTGACTGATTGAAGCAATTATTCATTTATTGATCATTGTTATTGTTAAAAGTTGATATATCGCTTATGAGCTTATTATTCTCATCTATATCTATTTGGTTAATTCGGGAAAAAAATTGAGAATGTGAACTCTGATTATGGCCAATATTTCTCAGAAAAATTAGAAAGCACAGAAAATTTTATTTTGAACAAAAGAAATAGCTTTATCATACAGAATATGTTTTCTGAAAATTTTATGATTTTGCCAATTTTTTGAATGGCAAGTGTTTCGAGCTTTATTCGTTCCTTAAAAAAGGAATTTTGCCCTCTTGTTGGAGATACATACTGCAATCACCCTTCTTTGTACATTTATCTCGCTCTTAATATCCTAATGCTTCTTCCTTACTTTTATTGTGTGGCCACTCTCTTTAGAAAGCTTAAATTCGAAGTAAGAAACAAAGTAATGCCTGGATTATTCTATACTATTGCTACATCAATTTATAATTTGGCTTCATGGTTTACTGATTATGCTTTAAATTACAATTTTCACGGCAATGACCAAGATTACTTTTTCAAAGAGAGCTTCATGTGGGATGACTTATCAAAGTTATCGAAAATCATGTTTCTTCATCAGATAGCTCTAGTTATGTTGGCATTTGAAAATAAGTTCGGAAAAATTCTTAAATATTTCAATTACCTAATGTTCTTCATATTCGGATTCAGATTTATAGGGAAATTCATTATACAATTTATTCCAAATGCTTATCCTTATGAAATTCCAGTACTTAAATACGTATTATACAATCTCAATCCAGCATATTTCAGTGCAATATATACATCGTTATACATATTAATGGTTGTTATTTTAAGTTTCTGTTTTGTTTTTTCAAAAATCAAAAATTATCTTCCTTCAGGTATTCTTCATCAAATTTACCTAGCAACATACTTTTTAGTGTTCGGACTTTTAAGTACAGAAGCAATTCAAGGATTTAGATATGGAAAATTATTCATGAAAATTCGTGAAACTGATTTAAGTATGTATAACTATGTTCGCTTTATTGTGAGTTTCTATGTTAAGTATTGCGTTGATTATCCAATATTTATCATAATTTGGATTTTATCCGCTCCTAATTACAATGAAGCGAAAACCAACGATGATATTCTTAATAGTAGCCTTGGCATATTAGAGTAATATTATTCTTTTGTTGTTTTTATTTATAAATTGTCTAAATCTTTTGGAATTTAATAATTTTTTTTTCAAAAACAATGTTCTAAGTAGGACCATCTAATACTTATTTCATTTGTTAAACTCTTAAATGAAAAAATAAAGTTCTCAAATTTTGGGAGAGAAATTGACAATATTGAAATTTAAGGAAACTGAGTAAATAACTAGGCTTCAAATCATATATTCTATATGTTTTAAAATTTTGTTGTATTGATCAGATTTTTATGGAACTCAAAAACCACACTCTAAAATATTTAACTTCAAATAAAACTTGCACGTTTCAAGCAGTTTTGGAATGCAATCATCCGAGCTCTTTCATATACATATGCTTAGTGATAGTTTTAATTCTTCCGTTTTATTTTTATTCGGCAAAGATGATGAGAAGACTTAAATTTCAACTCAGAAATCAATTCATGCCTGGACTATTTTATGCCTTTGCAACAGGAATCTACAATGTCTGGTATTGGTACGATCAATATGTTTTATTTTATGATTTCCATGAAGAGGATGATGATTTTAATAATAGATCTAAGGGCATTTGGGACGAAATTGCTAAACTTGCATTTGTTATGTTTTTACACCAGATTGCTACAGTTTTGATTGCATTTAATATTAAATGGGCAAAATATCTGAAATATTTCAATATTATATTCTTTCTGATATATTTGTTACGTTTTTTCGGTGAAATATTTTATACAATCTCAGGGTTTGCCAAAAATAGTTTAATTCAAACACTCCTTCACGATTCTGGTATATTTTATCGACTATTTTATGAGTTCTTATTTTTATATTCCCTAATTCTTCTTAATATTTGTTTTGTTTTATCAAATATTAAAGATTTTATTCCGAAAAAGTTCCATATTCCAATTTACCTTTCAATATTCTTTTTCGTGCTTTTTCTTTTTGTGACTGTTGAAGCAGACACATTCTATCATACTATATTTTTGAGATATTCGAATTCGGAACCAATCAAATTCAATTATATCAAATTAGTAATACAGATAGTTCTTAATTTCTGTTTAGATATACCGACGTTGATTATTTTGTGGATTTTATCTTCAAATGATTTTGATGAGGATGATGATACCACATCATCCATGATTTCACATGCAAGCTTATTAGACTAGAAAATTGCATTTTTGCTGTTGTTCTAATACTTGATCCTACGATTATAATTGACTCAAATGAACTTCCAAGATTTACAGGAACAAAAAAACAAAGATTCATCATTACAAAACTTAACATCTTCACCACTTCACTTTATTAAAGTTTGTACTTACGCTCATCCGGCATTCAAATTTCTGACAACTGGAATGAAGCATCATTGAAAATTGACCCTAAACACAAGAGTTGAAGGCCTAGTCATAAGTGGGTGCACTCTGAATTAAATCATAAAAATTTCATATAAACGTTTATGAGGCTTTATCATATGATATTTCGTCATGAAAACAGTTTCACTTGTGATCATACCTTTGCTTATGTTTCTAAAATATCAAATTTTCATTGAGTATAGATTTTATGTTCAATGTAAATATGTAGGTAAACAATATCAAAGAAATTTCATTTCAATTTCTTTATTCAAATTCAAAATTAAATGCTGGATTCTTAACGCAAAACAAATTAATATATCTATATATCAAGCTACAAATTAGTATAACGTGTAATATAACAATAAATACAATCTCAGTAATTTGAACGGGAGTAAGTATACTAGGTCTATAATTGCCATCTTGTTCAACAACAAAAAGCTCAATTGTCATAGGATCGAAGTATTGTTGTTTGTCTGTTGAGACAGGAGATATTTGTAAATAGAACTTCTTCGTTGAAGGAATAATATTATAAATATACTTATTACCTGTGTTTCTGATCCAAACTCTATTTAGAATGGCCTTGCTATCAGGAGATATAATAGTTGCAGCGATTGCTGTAGAAAATCCATCATAAAGGATTCTATCAAGCTGCAGAACATATTCAACATATATATCTTTTTCCTTTGTTGAGAATATTGATCCATTCTTTGGTTTGATTATGCTAGGCGTCAAAATATTTCTGTAATTGATTGACACATTTGATGAATAGATACATTTTGGATCCATAGAATCAACAATAAGTATCATATCAAGTTTATCCCTGAAAACACTAGGAACATAATCTATTAATATCTGTGTGAAATCTTTATTAAATTTAGCACTGATAATAACTCTATTATTTCCATCCGGTGATGAAACCCAGACTGTGTAGTAGGCCTTCCTTGCATCATCACTCACATTTACATCTACACTTGCATTTTTCCCTGCATACAGAGTAATATTTTCTTCTTTGAATGTAACTTTTGAGACTTTTATTGCGAAAGGAGAATGACAATCATTCCTTTGATTTATCAAAGAGATATTTGGAGCTATTTTGTTATAGAAGAACTTAAGACCTAAGCTCTCTATTGTTCCATGATATGCATCGTCTGCGACTCTAAATGAAACTGTCCATTTTCCTATTGGATTTTCGCCTAAGAATTTATATCCCATTAATTCAACTGAGTTTATTGTTGAAGTTAAGTCTGCCTCTGTTAATATTTTCATTTCACACCTTGTTCCATTTGGACTAATAATGTGTGGATTTAACGACCCAAATGATAATTTCTTCGATTTGAAGAATAAACTGACGCATAAAACAGATTTCGCACTTCTTTCTGTGAAATCAAAAGTAACGTTGTGCTCACGGTCTTCAATAATTAAATTTAAAGTTTTTTCAACTTTGTATTCATAAAATTTCCCAGTTGATGTCCAATTTAATGCGATATCAACAGCTCTACCCAGATTCAACCTTCCAAAGCCCGATCTTCTATTATAATTAAGTTGTATTCCATTTTTGTCCCAAATTATCGTGTTTGGATTTACTTTATCTGCAGAAAACGCAGTAATATAAAACAGATCAGATAATGTTAGGTTTGGATTTGCTTCCAATAAAACAGCAAGTCCACCTGCGAATATCGCTGCACTTGCGTTAGTCGATGTGAAGTTCTTATTTGTTGAATTAGTAGATTTTGGCGAAGCTGTAAAAATAGGAGCATTTCCGGCAGTAGGAGCAACCATAAAGACACTTGCACCTTCAGCAGAGTGAGATAAAGAAAGACCTCTGTTAGTAATTCCACTAATTGAAAAAACTAGTGGCCAACCTGAAGGTGGACTCAAAATAGGATCAAATGCAGTTTGATAACCCACAGGAACCACTATTGGATGTGGCCAATTTCCTTCTTGTGGATGATATAAACAATCATCTGCAATTTCCTTAGGAATTACTTCTGGTTGAACGTATTGAACGTATCCATTCGGTTTCTCAATGTAAAGATATTGAAGGATTGATATATTCCACTTCAAACTCTGATGGCACATCACAGTTTGAAGGTGTTCTGCTTGCATGGAATAGTTTGTGAAAAAATAAGATGCAACATTTGCTCCTGGAGCAACACCTTCAAATTCTGTACCTCTTTTCCCTGCTGCTAGAGCTAATGATGCAGTTGCGATATTATGTGATGAATTCGTTGTCAACATGATTTCATTTGTATAAATATTAATAAACTGATCTTTGATTGCTCTATCTTTGTATGCAACATGATCGAAAAGCGCTCCATCAGACATTACGGCAATTGTGATTCCTTTCCCTGTGTATTTATCGTAATATGCATGCCCAGACCAGTTGATATCTTCACCATCTAAGCCACCGTATTCATCATTTCCCGAATTTTTAAGCCACCACGCTACAAATAGATAAAACATCTTAAAATTGCTCACGCGGTAATCAAAATTGCGAACTCTGTTCTCAAATCATTTCTAACATAATCTTTTTACAAAGACATTGCTTGTTTTAAATCACTGCTTTTGATAATTTTATATCAATTTGATAAAATTAAATAAATTGAAAGCTAAATAATTGATATTTCAAATGGATTCAAATAAGTAATGCCGAGTTTATTTAGTAATATAGACATTAGGGGTAATATCAAATGCTTAACTAATTAATGTTTGTTGTTATAAAACGAATTATTCTGAAATAATTTGTGAGAGAAAATTCTAGGGTTGTTAAAAATATCAAAAATTAGCGTTTTGAAGACACCATGGTGTCTTATAATTTTCCCTTCCTTACTGGCGTGTAGAAATAAATGCGCCAATAGATTGAAGAAGAAGAATTGTTTTTCTCTTAATGAACTTTAATCCTTTTGATATAAGAATATTAAAAACATTAATATAATTTCGATTTCGGAAATTCAATAGCCAAATTTTTTGTCGATTTCGGAAATAACAGGATTCCGCATCCAACACGCAACAACAAAACACAAAACACACTTTTTGGTTCTTTCATCGTTTTAATCGTAATTTAGGTAATACATGATTTGGATAAATTTTACAAAAATAGAACCTATATTATATTGTTTTCAAAGATTCTTGCAAATCATCAAAAATAATTGTATTTTAAAAAACGATCGAATTATCCTTTCATTATTTTAAACTTAAATTAGTTTTTATGATTGACTAAAGCAATCATATTTATTCATCATTAAATAAACAAAAAAATAATATTTGAGAGTTATTTCAAAAAAACACATTGAATATATTAATTTGTCTCAATTTCAGTATTATAAATTTTTATAATTTCAATATTTTGAAATACACTTTTAAATATTTCAATATTTATGATATTTCAATGTATTAAGTGGTCTCAAATTGAGCTTCTCAAATATAAATTGGCCTATTCAAAAAATAAAATTAAATAGTATTCAAAATAATAAATAAAAGTGATTGAGGTCATAGCAAAACGGCTGTTTCAGTCATTAATTCTTAAAAATAAAAAGGGTAAAAACTAAATACAATGGGTAAAATTCAATAGTGTCTGTGCTATCGTTCAATTTGAAGGTGTCTTTTGAAACCGCAAGACACATTGAATTTTTGAATAGTGTATTATGGTTTGACAGA